AGTTAGGTGGTGTCAGAGTAGGGCTCTGGATCTTGGCTGTACAGTGTCTTTTCCTGCCAATTTTAGCAACATTTTTGACGTCAAGGCAGCTGGGGCTGGAGAGGAGACAGGGTTTGGAACTGGCTGAGCCAGCTGAGGAGCTGCAGATGCTGCTTGCTTTTGTCTGTTATGGGTGGTGAGACTTAGGGTTGAGGGAATGTGGGAGTGTGGGTGCACGTTTTCGAGGCGGCCATTCAGCGGTCCACTTTGGCCTCTCCTCGCGCGGGTCAAGCTGGTCCATGCCTCGGCTTGGAGCTGCGTTCAGTCGCGACGGCCATCGACCTGCACCCTCTCGCGCGCGCACAGCAAGAGTGGCTGCGTTGACGATGTCGTGGAATTTGGTCAACGAGCGGGAGCCGACAGGCGTGCGTGGTACGTATGCGAGCGCGAGCGGGAGGAGCCGCGTTGATTGAACGAATGTGTGTATACATTGGAGAGATGATGGGTTCCGACGAGGGAGATGCCTATCGCAGCATGGAAGAGGGTGGGGAGCGGGCGAGGACGGGGGAGAGAGCTGGACGGGGTGGGTATGTACAGGTCAGCAGCGGAGCGCCTGCGCCCGATGTGCGCGATGCTCGCGGCGAGGCGTGGCCAGCGAGGGCGGGACGGCGGGACGGTTGAGGGCCTAGCCCGAGGTCGAGGTCGAGACGAGGGGGTGAGGATTCCGGCACCAAAGAAGGAAGGCGCGGACGACGGCGGGCGCGCTTAGAAGAGGGCGAGACCGGCGGCGGCGAGGCCGGTGAGTAGGGCGGCGGAGCCGGCGAGGCTGATCTTGGAGGCCGACGAGGGCTGGCTGCTCGAGTTGGCGCTGACGGGGCTGTTGGTCTTGGCGGCGGCCGAGGCGGGCGAGGTGGACGTCGAGCTGCTCGACGTGGCCATGGCTCGGACCGAGGTGGCGAGGCCGCCGGTGGGGGTGGCGCTGGCTCCGCCGCCGGCCGAGGCGGTGCCGCCGGCGCCCTCGAGCTCGGCCTTGATGGTCGAGTTGAACGTGCCCGTCATCTTGTCGAGGGTGAAGCGGGCCGAGAAGGCCATGGGCGGGCTGGTGGAGCCGGCGGCGGGGGTGGAGCCCTCGAAGCGGAGGAAGTAGTAGCCGCCGTTGGGGCCGACGGTGGGGTCGATCTTGTACTTGTCAGACGTGTCCTTGGCGTCGACGTCCTCGGCCAGCGTCTGGAGGCGCCACTGGACGTCGTGGGAGCCGGTGGCCAGGTAGACGTTGACCTTGCCCCAGTCGGCAAACTTGGGCGCGGCGCCGTCGTCGTGCCACTCGACCTGGAGGTGCTTGTCGCCGTGGCCCGTGGTGGAGCTACGAGGCGGCGTGGGTAGAAGGGTCGGGAGGGCGTAGGGGATCAGTACGGGGGGTGGTTCAGACGGGTGGACGTCGCGAGCAGTGACAGGCCGGGCGCAGCGGCGGTAACACGCGCGGTGCAAGACGATGGCGCGTCGTGAGATGCCGCGACACGAGGGCCGCCCGAGATGTCGGCGCGAGTGTGCCACTGCATGGATCCGCCGCAGTCGTCGGCAGTCCGTTGCCACCCCGGATTCGAGGCCGGGGTCGGGTATCTCGAGCCTGCACCCTGCATGGCCATCCCGATGTCCATCACGAGACTTCGTCGCAAAGAGGGCCAGCAGCGATAGCCTTTCCTTTCGGCATCGTCTGCGTGACGTGGCAAAGGCTACGATGGCGGCGCAGATCCCACTGGAGGGCATCGACGACGGAGGGGCGTGCGGTACTCACGCGACGGGCTGGGTGACGATGATGGTAGCCATGGCCGGACCAGCGGCGATGGCGAGGAGAGAGACGAGGGCGGAGACCTTGGCGGCGATCATTTTGGCGTGCAAAGCAGGGTGAAAGCGGGGGCGGGTTGGCTGGGGTTAGGGGGGTCGAAGCTGGGTCGTCTAGACTGAGAGCTTGGAGGGAGAGGGGAGCTGGGGGTAACGAATGTAAGCGCTAGTGCAGTGGAGGGGAGGGGCTGAGATGGATTAGGAGAGGATGGTGATTCCTTGACGAGTGGCGACAGTGGTGGTGAGGGTGGTGGTGATGAGGAAGAAGGAGGAAGGACGAGACGGGTTGTGATGATCAACAGCGAGGGCCAAGGGCGGAACGACGCCGAGGCTGGCTCGCTGGCCCGCCCGGCTGGCAGGTTGCCCCTCGGCGTCCCAGACCGAATGGCTCGCCGCCCTCCCCGTCCGCCCGCCCGAGCCCCGAGCCCCCCTGTTTTTCAAGCCAGCTGGGTGCCGAGGGTCGGTATCGCACATAGGCGCAAGCAAGCAGCTGGCTCGGTGCTCCTGGCTCCGCCCGTGCTGGTGCCTTTGTTTCGCTGGGCGAGCATGCTGCCGATCTCCCGAACGCACGCAGGCAGGCAGGAACAGGGTGAGGCCAGCCGATGGGACCGGCTCGTTGGCAGCCTCCAACTACTCTGCCTTGGTGCGTGCGTGCTGTCTGTCGGGCGGGCAGGCGAATCCGAACGTGTATGTACGCATGCTTGCCTGGCTGCAGCGAGCTACCGGGACGAGGTGGATGCAGGCAGGCCAGGTCAAGCGCGCCATCGCAGATACCGGCCTGCCTGCCTGCCTGCCTGCCTGCCTGGTTGGGCCTTTTCAAAGGCCGCTCGACGCCCATCTCGCGCTTTGGGCGGGCGGGCGAGAGCAGCCGAGCCATGCGATGCGGCGTGCAGGTCCGCACCGTCTCGCGGGCGCGGTACTCTGCCTCATCGGACGAGGCCGTATGGCGGCGCACACGGGAGAGAAGAGGCGACGACGACAGATCGAGAGGCAGGCCAGGATATCAAAACACCAACGGTCGGCTCAGACCGTCGCTCTGCGCTGCTTGCTCTGCGGGCCACCTGCCAGCGCTAGCCTGGCCCGCTGGCCCGCACGTCTGCCTGCCTTGCCTGCTCGTTTGACGCCGATCCGAAACAAGCGGCTGCGGCGCGGGCTAGCCGAACCGCGCCGCCTGCCTTGCTTGCTTGCTGCTCAGCCTTGTCTTGCTTTGCTTGCTTGCTGGCCGCTGGCCTGCCTGCTGGCTTGGCTTCCTGACCGCTCGCGCAACGCAACGGAACGCAACGAGACGCAACGCAGCGCAACGTTGCGCAACCGCTGCGACCGCAAAGTGCAACAACGTGAAGCGGGCCAGGCAAGCAGCACGTACGTACGTACGTACGGGGCGAGCGTGAGGAAACGACACATGCGACGGGCCAAGACGAGGACACGAGCTGAGGCCCTGCCTTTGCACGAGTATCACCGCCCGCGGTCGACGGGCGCCAGGCTAGGGCCCCTCCAACTCGGAGGTGGGGTGGGAAAAGCTTAGCCTCGCCTCGTCGTCGGATCGAACCGAATCGATTCGAGATCTCGGGCTAGGCAGGCAAGCAGGCAAAGGACGCTTCGACGACGGCGACGACGACGTCGATCCCCCGCGTCTGCCCCGTGTGGATCCTCGGCGAGAGAAGGATCGACACGCCTGAGGTTTTCCGCCCGACGACGGTACGTCGGTTCGGGATCGACGAGGCGCAGCTGGCCCCTTCGTCGTTGTCCAGGGGACGTCGCGGGGACGTTGAACGTTGCTCGCAGCAACGTCAAGATGACGATGGTGTTACCGGTAACATCGGGGGGCAACCAGCCAGGCAAGGGAGGGAGGCTAGGGCGGACGAGGCGAGGGCATCGAGTCGCCCAGCCGTCTTTCCGCCAGGCGGGTGTGCTGTAACAAGCAGGCCAGGCTAGGCTAGCGCGACGATGCCATGCTAGCCGCTGCTGGTTTCAAAGCTTGGCATGCAGGCCACCGCTGAGCCAACGCACCCAAACCTCCCCCTCCCTCGCCGCCCTCTGCACGGTCGGCCTAGCCTGTAGCTGCTGCCGGCGCTGGCGCTTTCATTGCCGTTCCTGACCGCTACTACTGACTACTGACAACATCACCGACGCCAGGCGAGCCGGTCAGCACTGCTCGAGCACCATCTCGAGCCACCTCGACGCCATGGTCTGCAGGCTCCTGACGGTCGAGCTGCGTGCGTAGCTGTGCGCCTGCGCTTCCTTCGGTCGGGCTCAGGCCAGACCCAGAAGAGGCAGAGTATCGAGCCATTGGCGGCGACGCTGCTCGTTGTATCGCACCAAGCCGTCGTATGTCGTGTAGACGGGCCAGCGCGATGCAGGCCGTGAGAAGAGGCACGGCGGCGGCGGCGAAGAGGCATGATGGCCGAGGCAAAGATCTCTAGAACAATAACGGATAGTCGCCATAGGCTGGGCAGGCCATGAAGCGGTCCGACCCGACCCCACGACCCGATGAGGCCGCGTGTAGGTGGGCGCAGTCCTCCGCGGACCGTCGGCCGAAGCCTGCTGGCCTGCCGGTCCCAAAGGGCATCTTCACGACGCTCGACGAGGAGGCTAGGACGGAGGCTAGGACGAGTTCCGAGCGACACACGGGCCATCTCTGATCACCACACCGCGTCGCACTGTGCTGGTCGTGCTCAGCGTCGGGAGATATGGTCGAGCGCGCGGATACGATGCTGGCTACAGGTTCCTATCGGGGTCCGGCGGGCGGGGCGGGCTAGCCTTTTGCTGCCTTCCGCGGCTCGCACATATGGAAACAGGCGCGGCCTCGACTACGCTCTCGGATCTGCGCTGATCATGTTGGAACGAAGGCTTGGTCTTCTCGAGTGTGCTCCTCCCCCACCCAGTCACGGTCGAACGGCTCAAGGCAGTAGGCGGATTGCCATTTCGCGGACCATCTCCCGCCGCAGAGACACGCCGATCGGCCCGGTGGCGTACGCCGCGGTCGAGTCGATCGACCTCGCTCGTCATGCCGCAGTGGCGCCCGGCTGCTCACCGCTGCCGTCGCGACCTCGCCCGCGCTTCATCATCGCCCCGCGGCAACCTTGGCGGGCAGCCGCAGCGGCCGCAGCTTGACCTTGGCCGACCGGCCGTGGCTGTAGCCCCTCAGCACCGCGATCCGTGCATCCAAAAACATCTGTTCGCTCACACTCTTCGACGCCCATGGCAGGTGTGTTGGGCCCGACGGCGATGGCGAAGGTGGTGGCCGTGTAGGCAGCCCGTCATTGGTCTCGATGGGATCTTGCATCGACGAGAACAGTCGCTCGGCGACAAGGGGTGCCGAAGCTGGACCACCGTACCTTGGCGAGGGTGGTAGCGGCACGACGCCGGCGAGTGGGGGCTTGGCAGGTGGCACGATGCCACGGCGCGAGCTCCCTCGCAGGCTCTTAGAACAACTGCTCAGCCTGGACGAGGAGCGCCGAACGTTGACGGCCGAGACCGCGACCTTGGCTGGTGACGACGGCGCAGGCCCCAACGCAGACCGCTCCGCCAGCTGCGGCTCCGACTGACGTTTGACCAGGCGCGACGCCGGGCTCCCCTCGCCCTGGCAAGACCGCCGACATCGAGCTCCCATGCCAGCATCGTTCAGCTTCATCGCGTGCGCTGTTCGCTGTTCCTCGTGCCACGCTGATGGAGCATCCGCAGTCTGAAAGGGCGAGAAGAACGCTGTCCTCGAGCTCGAGTCGGAGCGCGTCCTCGGGCGGCTTTCCGAGGCTCGTCGAACCTTGCCGCTCCGCTCTTGGCTGCGGTGCGGACCAGCGTGCTCGCTGCACCTGTCGCTGTCGTCCGAGGCGCAGCTCTGACGCTTCGACGGCACCGCCGATCCAGGGCGCGTGGCAGAGAGCAGCGAGTCCTGCGTCGAGGCACAGCGAGCAAAGTCGAAGCGCAGCTTCGGCGTATCGATCTCAACCTCATTGGGGCCTCCGGCGATGCGCGTTTCGTTCCCGCTTTCCGCAGTCGACCGAGCGACTGGCATGGGAGAATGTTCGCTCGGTCGCGGGTCGAAAGTGATGCCCGTACCTTCGCCAGTGTTGGGCGGCTCGAACACCAGGCCAAGGCCGGATCCTGGGAGGACGAGATCGGACGAAGCATCGTCCATCGGGACGGGCTGGCCAACGTCGCTCGCAGCGATGGCGATAGTCGGACCGGAAGCGGCCCATGGTGGTGTCGCGCAGAGGGACGGACCGCAGCCTACGGCTCCTGCGGGCGACTCCCCTTGTCGCAGCTCTGGCTGGTCTGGCCGCAGCCAGGCTCTACCGGTTGAAGGCGAAGGCGATGCCGTACGCTGGCTTCCGTCGGCCGCCTCTGCCCTGTCGTTTCTCTGAGGTTGACAGAGGCTGGCGATCTGCGCCTGTCGTCATTGTTGCAGCACGAGGAGGAGGGGCCGACATGTGAGACCGCGGTAGCACAGAGACCCCTCTTGGGCTTCCGATCGCGTACTCACCTCAATCGCAGCTCGCCAGCTCATCATCTTCTCGAGGCTGTCGAGTCGCATCTGCCACGAGACTGTGCGTGCCTCTTCGCCGTTGGCGTCCTGATCGAGGAAGGATACTCCGCCGCCCAAGCCCTCGTGATGCTCCCCTGCAGATCGCGGACCGACAGCGGGCTGCTGGACCCCGGTGACCGTCAGCACCCACCGTCCCGCCGAAGACGAGAAACTCTCCATGATCCCCTCGGTGATGGCGCCGAACGCGGTGTCGGTCTCCAGCTCCGTCCTGGCCAGCATCGACAGAGGCAGCATCGACGCGCTGACGGTGCTGCTGCTCGTCAGCTGCAGCCGGGTCATCTCGCGCGGCACATCGATGCTCTTGCTCCGGAGCCGCGCCGCGCCGCCGCTGCCGAGCGAGGAGAAGCTGCACGTCTCGCGTCGGTGCGAGAAACGCTGCTGTTGCGAAGCAGCACTCCCTTGAGCCGAGGTAGATGCCGCCGCCGAGGTCGGCGAAGATGGAACGAGGTGGAGATAGATCCGCAGACTCTCGACCTGAGATCCGTCGGCCAAGCCCGCGTCTGGCCCATCGAGCGGCATGACTGCGCCATCCTGCCTTCGAACTCGCTCCGGAGGCGATGCCGCCACATCCCAGTCGGACGGTGCCACCCAAGCTCTCGGTCTGCACGAAGCAACCGCTGCGCTGACTGCTGACACAGATGCAGGGTCGACGATACCGTCCATGCCCTCCGGAGGCTGTGCGCTGGTCCACTGAGATTGAAAGACGGGTCGGGGCCGCAGCGACAGCTTGGCACCGGCCAGCCGGCCCGCAAAGGTTGCGGCTCGAGGCCTTCCCCCGCTCGTGCGCTCCCTCGGGGTCGGGAGACTGGCGAGCTCAGACGTAGACGTTGCGGTGGTGCCGTTTGACGAGCTGCTGATGACAAGGTCCTCGACGGCGGAAGGCTGGATCGGGTCCCGCCTTCCGGCAGAAGGCGACAAGTCGGATCTCGTCAGGACCAGCTCGACGTCGCACCAAGCCGGACGAGGGGGGAGCGAGGGCGCGCCCTCGGGGATGCTCGGAGCCTCCTCGTCGCGTTCCACTTTGTCGTCGGCCACGGGCTGACCGCTGCCGGTGGCGTACTTGGCCGTTGACATGCCGCGGAGCGTCGCGCTGAGCCGCTTGAATGGCGAGGACCTCTTCTTGCGCAACGTTCTGCCCTTGGAATTCCGAACCCCGTCGCCCGGACCAGAGCCACTGGCACCGACGCAGAGAGACTGGGGAGCGAGCACGAGGCCGTGCATCACCTCGATCTGGGCCAGTCTCGCCCGCGTGCAAGGGAAGTTGCTGCAGACGTCTCGGCCTTGTCGCTGGACCGGGGGCGGCCACATCGGGCTCCAGGCGTCGCTCGAGCTGGTCGAGGGCGCCGCGGTCGAAGGAGGCGCGGGGTAAGGCAGAGGACGAAGGGACGTGGCCGGAGATCCCAGGTCAAAGCCCGGCGTGAGGATGAAATCGCAGCCGTGCCCTGGGTCGGCGACTGTGGTGGTGACCCTGTCCGGCGCCCGCTGGGCTGGCCGAGGTCCTGGTCGGGCATTGGTCGGGCATGGTGTGAGCCGACGGACAAGCATGGTCGAGCCTGTGCGCCCAGCGGTGTGAGGATCCGCCGCAAAGCTCAGCGACGATGACCGCATCTTGGTGATCGGGACGACGAGGGACGAGGTCATCGGTGCGCCTGCCTGGGGCGCCGCTGGCCTCTGGATGGATTGATTCGCTCCTTCGTCGCCTCGAGTCGCCACGGCGCTGGCTGTCGTCGATGGAAAAGGCGACGGGTGTGTCTGAGACGTGGAGCTCAAGCTCGTGGCCGGAGGAGGGCGCTGGAAGGGCTGGTAGAAGTCGGAAGTTGCGGAGGGGAGGCCATCGTGCTGTCGGGGCAGGCTTGTTCGGATCGACCCGATGCTGTTCTGCAGTGAAGAGACTGGCCCTGTGCTTGCCAGGCTCGAGCAGGACGAGCCTCGAGAACGGCCGCGACGCCCCGCGGCGGGACCGCCTGGGCTCCCTGCGACCGTTGCGCCATCCGTGGTGGGCAACGGCGGCAACATGGCGTTGACGTGAGTCTGGACGAGATGGAATGGCCCTCGACGCTGTGTGCGTGTTGCGCTGCGTCGGGTTGCGTCGGGCTACGTCGGGCTACGTCGGGCTACGTCGGGCTACGTCGGGCAGGCCGGCGGCAGTGCCGAGATGAGGCAGGTCTGACCAACGGCAGGTGCGATGGCTTGTTGCGAACCCGAGCCAAATCTGCAAGTTCGAGGTCGAGCGGCGGCGGTGTTAGTCCTTCTTGGCAATGGCGCAGGCCGTAGGGCAGGAAGAAGCAAGTGTGAACGGGTCCCTGTGTGAGCTGGCGGAGCGATTCAGTGTCGACTCTGACCTTTTGATGCAACGACAGGCAGCGCCGCCGGGGCGTCGGGACGTGCTGCTGGAGTGGATATGTGGATGGTGGTGGAAGCTGGAGGAGCCGTACGGGGCACCTCGATTGCTCGTCGACCGAGAGCAACGGAGCGAAATGAAGGAGGCGCCGGTCCCTCGGACGTCGTGCTTGGGCTGGGCGGATCGGTCGGCGTGCGTCGGGTGCTAAGACGAGGCAGGGAGGGCTGACGACGCCAGAGATCTCGTCAGCCAGCCGTCATCGTGTCAGCGGTCGGGCTGGCGGCGATGGCGCGCCGTCAGCAGATCTCAGCCTCTGCAGCGGCTGCGAAAGTGGGTGCTCACCTATCGGTTTGCGGTTCGGGTTCGGGCGAGGTGCATCCGAGTGGCTGGTCCACACGGCTGGGCGTCGCGAAACGCTGCCGTCGATGCCTGCTCGAGGCAAAGGAAGACGGCGTCTGTGGCGTGTGCCTGGAGGCTGGGAGCAGGTCGGCGGTCGCAGGCGCTCGAGACGGTGATCGAGAGCCGTGGGACGACGGCGACCTTGTTGCGCTTCGAGATACCTTGCCCAGGCTTGCAAGCGATGGCGATGGACCGGGCAGCTGCTTGTGTCGAGGCGGATCCAACTCGAGGAGCACGGCACAGAGATGGGTCGGGCCGAGCTTCGGCGCCGATGCTGACGACAATAGACGGCAAAGGCGGGCAGAGACGGGAGATCAAGAGCGCCGGGCAAGGTCAAGAGTCGCGACGAGCAGGGGCAGCGGAGAGGGCAGTGTTCGTCTCGGTGGCCAGATTTATGAGGTAGGTGGGCGGTGTTTGGCCAGCGAGCCTGCCGAGCCTGCTGGTGATCAGCAGCGCAGGGCGAGCAGGGGGTAAGAGGTGGGTCCCGAGGCGGTTGCACCATGACTGGCCCCCGCGATCCGCTTGGGGTCTGGATAGCGGTGGTGGTGGTGAGGGCCTGCTGTTGGAAGGCGAGCGGTCGCTGGAGCGCCGTGTGGGCTGCGCTTCTTGGGAGTCGCTGCCGCCCCGCCGCGACGATTGCGCGCCGCACGCCAGCGCCCACCGGGCAACCCACGAGGACTACACCAGACAAAGAACAGGTAGGGAGGGGAGGCGAGCCGGTCCGCTGCGGTACAATCATGAACGGCGTCGATGGTGCCGGTTGGCTCGCTGCTCTTGCGCGCAAAGCCGAAAGCACGTACGGCTACCCACCCTTAGTTGCTGGGATTGTCTGAATGGAGGGCGGCCGGCGAGCAGCAGCAGGGTTTCCTCGGCGGCTGAGGGAGAAGAAGGGAAAGGCCCGGGCACGCACTGGTCTGTTACGTCGGCCACCGCTACCATGCTGCAGCGCGGCTGGCAAGGCCCCAGATCGAGGACGAGGTGGGTTGTAAATGGGCAGAAGTGCCGCCGACGAGCGTGCGTAGCGTAGGCGAGGCTAGGTTGCTGGGGCCATGCACGCTATGCTCCCGTGGCGAGGGGCGGCCTAGCTGACTTCTAGGCTTTCCAGTGGCGCGGACGAGGACGGGTGAGGATCGAGGCCGGCTAGCCTCGGATGGATGCCGCGAGAGCGACGTAGCATCGTCCGGGACGCTCCCGGCGAGCGCCCAAGGGCTAGCCTGGCTCGACTGCGCCCCGCCATCGGAGGTCGTCCCGTGGGCTTGACACCTGCCTTGGACGCTCGACCGTGGAGGGTCGTGCTCGCGTTCGCGCTCGTGGTCGGGGTCGTGATGGAAGGCAGGGAGCAGGCCTAGGCCCAGGCCTCTTCCCTGCTTGACCATCCGTGAGCGCCGCGAGTCGTGGGTTCGGGATTGTCGTGGCCCGGCAGAGTTGGCCGACCAGCGGCCCAAGTTGGACGGAGCTCGTCGCCCCACCCGGCGTGGCTACGCCTGCGCCCTTTCCCCGCCCTTTACCGCAGCGCCCAGCCGCAGCGGGCGACGCCCTTGACAGGCTGCGCTGCGGCAGAAAGTAGCGAAGGGCACGTCTCTCCTCGTCGCCGTGACCCGCTTGGCGCTGGGCCATGGATGGAGACACCTTTATAGTCGCCCGGATGATTGCGCCCGGCAGCTTGGCCATTGGTCGGGATGACCACACCATTGCCCGCGGTCTGCGCCAGCGCGCGCGTGGCCGGAGATCCGGCGTGAAGGACAGACGGAAGCTGTAGAATCGTCTTGTTGTGCTCAGCTCTTGTGGGCAGGTCACGCCCAGGCCAACAGGCCACACAGCCTCGCGGGGCTGATGGAGCAGGGCAATGGCACACTTATGGCCTGCGCCTCGCTCTTGCTTGTTTGCGAAGCCAGAATGACTACCTCCTCTCCAGCCCAGACGAGCGGCGCTGGTGAGTCGGTGGCGATCCGAGCCAGTCGAGGACGTGTCCACCAAGGTCAAGCAAGGTGTGGGTGCTGCTTGTCCAAACCACAACGATTTGCGACGAGGTGCGGCTGCCACATGGTGGCTCGTACGGCGGGTATTTGGGCGTCCCAAAGATGGCGGGTGCGCAGGAAGTGTCAGACTGACTGCGCTGCTTGGATGCGAGTCGCCGCAAAGGCGCTCGATGTCCCGCAAGCTTCCGCTCTCGGGTCCGCTACGGCGCCGATTGACCAAGGCCTCGTCGCCACCAACCTCGTGCAGGCTAGACCTCGATGCTACCGATGACACTTGCCCCTCACGATGGTCGCATGCCCCGGTATCCCCCTCTTCGGGTGGTGCAAGCACGAGCGAAATTGGCCGGCCTGTTCGATCGTCGCGCAGACACGGCCGGCAAGGAGGTGTGAACGCGGAGGGCGGAGTCCTGAGCGGGCATAGCGCTGGCGGCGAGGAGATCTATCTGATTGCTTCCCATCTCCCGGGTTGGTTCTCCGATCCCAGCCGCGGGAACGATCGGGATGCCCAAGCACACGTCAAGGACGAGGCGAGGAGGAGGGAGCAAGCAAGGAGGTCTCGCCACGCGACACGCCACCGAAGTGCTGGCAGCCAGCTTGTCCGCTTCAACTTCCGAATGGCCAGGCAGGTACCGTACGTACGGCATCGAGGAGACTGTGCCCTGCCGCGTCCTACAGAGTAATATCTCGCCCCAGGCTCGCTCTTGCCTTGCCCTGCGCTAGGCGTTGCTGGACAGCGCCGACTCGGCGGAAGAGAGGAGCGGGATGGTCCAAGGCGCAAACTCGTCTCGGCTCTGTGGGGATCCCGAAGGGCCCTATACATAGATACAGCAGCGCGAGCGCATCATTGTTGGCACGCTTCAATCGCCGGACGAAAGCGCAACAATGGTGAAATCGGTCAAGGCGGGCAGCAATAAGGTACGGCTGGCGAGCGAGGTCCCGGCTCAATCGAACTCGACAACGGACCGGGAACGTCGGCGGGCGGGTCCGAAGAAAGAGGGGTCCGAAGGCCGCGCCCACTCTCTTCCCATCCGCGCCAATCTGCGCAAGGAGCAAGGAACGATAGGTACGGCGCTGACAATGTCGGAGTTGTTGTGGATCCTCTCGTCTTGCTGATCGCGGTCCGGATCGTTGGACCTCCTACGAAGAGGATAGACGAGTGAGTCAGACAAGACACGACACGACACGAGGGACGATCCAGGGAGAGTCTGTTCAGGCTGGCGGAGCAGCGGGTGAGGGTGCCGCCTGCCTGCTTTCCTCGATTGTTCTTCGGCGGACAGATGGACGACGACGGCGACGACGAGAAGACATTACGCCGCCGACGAGCGGAGCATGGCATGGCATGGCGTGGCATGGCATGGCGTTCGCCGACGAGCTATGCGCTGCCGGTGGTTGCTGAGCCGCGGTGTGCGTGACAACGAGGGCAGCGGCCAGACGAGGCGGAGCCTGGGTGTGATATCTTGGTTGCTGACCAGCCCGTCCGGCCTTTGTCTGATGTCGTCGGTCGAGGCACGCCGCATACATGGCGTCGGAGCGTCGGAGGGATGGACGACGAGGCTGGATCTGGCACCCTCCCTTGCTTTGCTTGCTTTGCTCTCAGCTGGTGGTTGTTGTTTGGTAGTTGCCTGTCGTGTTTGCCGTCTCGCGATCAGCTGTATGTTTGGCCTGCCCGTCTGCTGCTGGCTGCTGGTTGCCATGGCGCAGGCGCAGTACATGGTCGGATCTCGCGGAGGGTTGCCGCCGGAAGCACCGCACCCCCCCTGGCCAGTCTACCGGTGGGACCAAAAGCAGCCAGCAGTCAACCAGGCGGATGCTCCCCGAGCAAGACAGAGCACAGCAAAGCTGGAAAGTCGTGCAGCGTGGACAACGGGCGGCAGCTGTGGTGAGACCGTTCAGGCCATTTCAGGCCGGCGCCCATCGGGCCGGGTCCGGACGGCGGACGGTATCCGGGATGTTTCAGACGGCGGGTTCCTTCGAGGGCCGGCAGCGCAGCTCTTCCCGTCAGACCAACCCCCGGAGCGCTGACGGGCTGCGCACTAGCTAGGCAACGGAGCGGCGTGATTAGCTCGTTTGGAACGATGAGGTGGATCAGCTTGCCTGCGATCCAAAGGCAGCGGCGGTGGGTTTGGAGCAGGCAGGCGGGGGTCGCGATGGGAAAAAAGAGGATGGCGCTGCGGGATGGCATGAAAGCAGGCCAAGCCAGAGCGGGGAGGCCAGAGAGCGAGAGAGGGAGAGAATTAGAGCGGTATGGCCTCTCGCTGGCAGTAACTAAGCGGCAAGTCGGCCAGGCCTGGCTGGCCAGAAGATTCGGCGAGGGCCGACAACCAGCCGCGCAGGCTGCATACGGCCAGGATGTCGTTCGCACAGCACGGCGCAGCAGAGCAGCAGCTGCGCTGCATCCTTCGCCCCGAGGAGCGGGCAGCCCAGGCAACAGGCAGGCAAGCAATGCAAGCAAAAAGGCCAGCGAGCGAGACGACGAACGAGTGCAAAGACGGAGCCAATTGGACTCGGCCTGGCCGGATGGCGGCCGCTGCTCATCGGTGGTAAAAGTGGCTTGAGCCCGCATGATGGCGGGCCATGCCAGCCAGCCAGCTGGTGCCGCCCCGAGAAGATCGATGGTCCTGGCCTGAATAATGTCAGCCAGGTGGCGCGTGGGGACGACGAGGGCTGAGGCAGGTAGGGGAGGGAGCATGGCGAGTCATGGCAGGTCGATTGCCTGCCTGTCCTGCCCGCCTTCTCAGGCTAGCGGTACATCGTGCAACGGGCGCATGTGCCTGCCTGCCTGCCTGCCTGCCTGCCTGCCTGCCTGCCTGCCTGCCTGCCTGCCTGTCTGTCCCTGCCAGGACGAGGTGCCAACCCCTAAACGGTCGCGGCAGGAGTCGACGAGGATCAAGCAGGAGCGGATCGCCCAAATCGGTCCATACGGAGACTGATCCGACGATGATGGCGATGGCGCCGGCGATATCCTTGGCGATGGCGCTGGCGATGGGGACGTTTTGAGCTGCCGTGCTCGATCTCAGACTCTCTGGCTGGCGTAAGGGGCCGCCACCAGCTTCCTCCTCGTCGCCCGCTCCTGACCGGCCGGCCCGGCGAGGGAGCGAGAGAGGCAGGATGGGTCAAGAGCGAGCGAGCGAGCATGCTCTCGCCATGTGCGTACAAGCGTACCTCTGGCTTTCCACCCCTAGCTAGTCTGGCTGCCGCCTGCCTGCCTCCTCTCTTCGCTTGGACCCTGAGTGGATTCCTGCGGACCCTGGACCATGCCCCCGTGGCAGCAGATGGAGAGCCAGGCCGGCAAAGCTTGCCCTAGTTAGGCTTCGCACGGCGGCGCGCTCAAACGAGGCTCGAGGGAGCGAGCATGCCCATTGCGGTTCGCTTCAAGCGATGCTCGCCCTCCTGGTTTGCTGCTCCTCCGTCAGCCGCCGTTGGGCGTGTATTGTGTTCTTATGGCAAGGCACTCCTCGCTCACTGTGCGGCAGATTGAGGGCAATATCGATCGGCTGCGCGTGTCGTGGGTGAGCTGAGGGCGAGCCGATGCGGACGAGTGGGGCGGGGCTGCAAACCATCGTCGGCGGAGGGGGTGCGAGGAGTTGTCGCGAAGGCAGCGCTTGCGCCGGGCAGTAGTGCCGAAGAGCCGCACGACGAACGCTGCTGATCTCATTGGCACGAAGCAAAGCTAGGCGTTGCGCCGCCGGTGAAGGCGACGAGGATGTGGTGCCGTCCGAGGCAGGCGCAGTTCAGAAGGCCCCGGCCACCTTGCTTGACCCCACGCCAAGAGGCCTGCAGTCGTGAGAGTGAGTACGACGAGACGAGTGGCGAGAGGGGTGTTGGGTCGCCCGCAGGCCGGCAGGCTGGCCGTCCCACCGCTGCGCTTGTGTATTTGGCCGGTGGTGTGAATTAATTGTCGCTCCGCCGCCCCCTCGCCGCGCTTTGGCCTCCCGGCCTCCGTGCCTTGCCTTTTTCTGCGGTCTGGCAGGCCCCCTTGCCTCTTCGCTCGCTCGTTCCTTGCCCGCCTGTCGAGGAACCCCGCCTTGCGCTCGGGCCCTGCCTTGCCTGCGTACCGCCGCCTGCTCCCTCACGACGACGACGACCAAGGCCACGCCGACGACGATGGCAGCAGGCGATGACCTGGCCCGTCCCTCTGTCCCTTCCCCCCCGGTCGGTGGCAGTAGAGTGACGACGGCGGGGAGGTGCAGGACGGGTGGTGCGAGGTTCTGGCACCGAAGTAGGCTAGTAGGCAGACAGCCAAGGCCGCGTGCGCACCGCCATCTCGGCTCGACGGCACAATCACAGCCCCTGCCTGCCTGCCTGCCTGCCTGCCTCTGCTGGCCCCCTGCCCTCTCCCCCGCCTCTCCCTCTCTGCTCTGCTCCGCGTCGCGGACAGCAGCCAGCAGCAAGCAAGCAAGCAGGCAGGCAAGCAGGCAGGCAGGCTAGCTAGACCTTACCCGTAGCAGGCAGGATTCGGTGCTTAGGGTTAGGGTGAGTGGCCTTGCAGCTAACGTGGTGCGGTGGCCGGCTCTTGTTAGGGCGAAGGGCAGGTAGGCGATTGGCCGTCGTCGTCGCAGCTCCCCGTGCGTACTTCGACGGCGCTGCGCTGCGCTGATCTGACCTCACAACTCCTGCCCCGCCGAGCACGTCGAACGCATGTAGGTAGCTGCTTGGCCTGCAGGCGGGCACCGTTGGCTTGCTTGCTCATGCCGCAATGCCTGCCTGTAGCGTAGACGGACACGCTTGTCCGGTCATTATTGCTCCTAGCGGGCCTGTTCTGCTCTCCGTCTGCCCTTGGCCTTGGCCCTGCTACAGAAAGAGTAGTGTAGCGTCCGACAATAGCGCAGCAGGTCACGCAGGCCGGACGATGTTCGAGGAGGAGCGGGCCCCGCCTCATATGTATGTACATATCTACTCGCCTGTTGGAGTTCGTCGATGGCCGAAGCCGAGGTGCACCGTACCCTGCCTCTTCTTCTGTCTGCTGCTGCCTCCCCCACCGCCATCACCACCACCACCACCGACGACCCTCCGCCGCCCCCTTTCTCGGACGCAGGTGTTGAGTGGGCTCGACCCGTCCCTCGTCGTCGTTTGAAGCACTCCATCACCTCGTCTTTGACCGCCGCCGATACCAACCCCCCTGGCCCACCATTGGCTTCCGTCCGACCGACAACCTCTTGCGCTCTCCACTGTCAATCGCCGCCGTCGCCCTAGACCTTCTTTGCTTGCTCGACCTTTGCGCGCCCGCCTCATACATACATACCCCGCCGCTGCCGCTGTCGTGTTCCGCACGTTGAACCTCGTGCCGCCCGCCCACTGCTTGTTTGTCATCACTGCGTCGCCTCGCCGTGGCTCGCCCCCCACTCTTTCGCAACTCGAACCTCGACTCCCCATCTTGAGCTCGCGGAGCAGCCGCGTCAGGAACCGGGCGTCGCTGCCGCACCTCGCCGGACTCGGCCCGATACCGATCGAAGGGCCCGCGCCGTCAGCCTCGCCGTCACCGTCAGCCTCGCTGCAGCTCGAGCACCGCACACGCCGCCAAACCGGCCTCTCGCTCGGACCCCGAGGGCCTTGAGAGAGACAGGCACGGCGACAGGCCTAGGGAAGCCTATCGCCCACCGGCAGGAGAATCCTGCATCGCTCACCGGACCTCGGTGGTTGCATGTCCCGCCGCGCCGCTCTTCGCTGATGCCGACGCTGGGGCCTCTTTTCGCCTTCCCGACAACGCCTTGATCCCGTCTGGTCGCTGCTCCTGCTGCTGCCGCTCCGGCTGCAGCCCCTGTCCTGGCTGGCTGGGCTGACAGCAGACATCGCACTTCGCTCGGCCCCTTCTCTCTGCTCTTCAACCGCCGCTGCTCCTCTGTATCCGACCGTCATCACCGGCTTGCAGTCATCCACCAAGGCGCGCCCAGCCCCATTGACTTGCTTCGACAACTTCCTGCCGGCATTGTCTGGCCGCACATCGCCCCATTCGACGCCCGGCAACGTCGCTGTCAAGCCGTACGCCCATCTCAGGAGAGTGGGGCTTGCACCGTCGCTTCGCTTCTTGGCTGCGGATCTGGCTGCCGTACCTTCCAGTCGACTGCCCTCCTCGTCGACCGCTAGCCTGCTTCGCCCCCGGCTTGCTATAAACGCCCTGCCTTTCCCGTCCCGCCGTCACCTCGACAGGTCACCCACGCCTATAGCGCCCTTCGGCTGCTCTCGTCCGACGTCCAACAGCTACCACCACCCTCCTCCTTCTCCTCCTCCTCTTCCTCCTCCTACCTGCTGTCTCTTCACTGACAGGGCGACACTCCCTCTCCTTCGACTGCGACCATGGACTACGGGACACCCAACTTGGGCCAGCCGAGCGCATCGCGGCGTTCCAGCCACGGCTTCGTCGATGCCGACCCGAGGCCGCCGAGCAACCGAAGCTCGCGATCCTCGATGGCATCGACCTCGTCCGCCGCCCACAGCCACCAGCAGCAGCACCGCCTCTTCTCGCCCGACGACTTCAAACGAGCCAAGGCCCACCTCGTCCTCGGGCCTCGCGCTCGCCTCAACACCACCATCCTCGACTCGCCCGACATCCGCCGATTCACCTTGCCCTCGCCCACGTCGGCCGAAGCCAGCCTGCCGGCCGTAGAGCACCAAGCGCGGGACAGTGCGGACGACGGCTCCGCTGCAGGCCTCGACAAGGCAGCACCGGCGACACCAGGTAGACCCGTCGGTCGGGATCGGCCATCGTCGTTGCTGACCCTGCCGCAGCAGCTCGAGACCGCCGACAGCACGGCGAGCAAAGCCACCTTCGGACCCCGTTCGGGGAGCACCGCCATGTCTCCCGGCCGGCCCACTTCGACCATTCGCGACTCGGTCGATGGCACCGCCAACGAAATCGTCGCCGGCCACGGCGACGGCGTCTCGCCCTCTCGCTCCGAGTATGCCGAGGAGCTCGACGCTACCAGCGAGCCCGACGCCAGCCGGGGCGCCAGCATCGACCTGCCCAGCGCGCTGCGGCCCAAGAGCGCCGTGTTTGAGCCCGACGCCGGCCGGCCCGTGCGACCGCGGACCGCCTCATCGGACCACA